GATGGCCATGTTTTGTTAGTCTATATTCCGATTTCTGGTCTTTTTCTGGTCTTTCACATCTTTACCTCATTTTGCCAATCCATAAATCTTATCTCCTGTCCTTACCTTGCACAATTAGCCAAAATTTGTATTTGCTCTTTACTTTCCCTGCTCTTTCTATAATGGTACCAATCTTCCATTCACTGCCCCCCTTCTGGTCTTGCCCTCCCTCCCTGTATCATTTTGTCCATATTCAGTCATTATCTCATCCTTGTAGTTGTCCAGTATGTGTGTTGGCCAAAAGCATGGTGCTTCAACTATATAAGATAACAAGGTGTAGAGCTGGATGAACACAGCAGGCGAAGCAGCATCAGAGGAGTAGGAAAGCTGACGTTTCGGGTCAGGACCCTTCTTCCATTTCTGAAGAAGTGTCCAGACCCGAAACGTCAGCTTTCCTGCTCCTCTGATGCTACTTGGCCTGCTGTATTCATCCAGCTCTACACCTTGTTATCTCAGATTCTCCAGCATCGGCAGTTCCTACTAGCTGTGCTTCAACTATAAGGTGTGTTCAGATTCTCAGAGTCTGTAATCACCTGCCAGTTAAGCTTAAAGTATGCACTCTAACAGATTAATTGCCATCCTGTAAAATGTCATGACCACAGCTCACAACTCTAACATATTGGAAACATTTTTAATTGTAATTTCAAAATGTTTTTACTTTAAAAACAAAACTGCTGTGGATATAGATTTAGCCACATCCTGGATACAGAGAACCACAGAATTTCAAACCAGTAGATGCGAAGAGAACATTAAACAACAGTCTTTCAAAGAAGTAAGTCGAAACAGATTGGACAGTAATCTCGTGACTACAAGGATAACAAAGGGCCAACAAACCCCTACACAAGAGCAAGTGAAGACCCATTGTTTATATCTCAAACTGCAGCCATATATCATGATTTCCCATTGAAGAATATATAAGGCAAGGGTTAAAAGGCCAGTTTAAACTCTGTTGGAGTGCATAAGTGGGACTGGACATTCTTGCGTGCACCAGCCTGGGTACAATGAAAAGCATATGATCCCCTAGTCACCCCTACATTACAGGCAAAGATTCTCTCACTCTGAGTGTAATGAGCCAGACAAAAGGAAGCAGGACAACAAAAAGGCTCTCTCTCACGCTAAATCCAATCACTGTTGAAAAGAATCAGAGTTATACAATATCAACCGAAATGCAATACTGACGATCATGAAACCACCCGGTCAACTATGAAGGCCATGGCCGTGATGTTCAACTACCTGCTCTATCAAACAACTCAGAATCTGAATGATATAACATTTTCTAAAACGCTCTCTCTTTTGGACTCACTTCTTATTTCAAATTTGTATGCAGGTTGCATTTGTATTTCATTTCGCTTGCAGTAATTAATAAACTTGTTCTTTTTGTTAATTCAAGAAGGCCAGGTTAATCTGACTCCTTTTGAAACAAATTAATTTGAGTCTGGGAGAGTTATCCACAAGAGAAGGGATCCTTTTTAAATTCACTTCATCGAAACAACCAAAGGGATGGATGAATCAAGAAGATTCTTGTCATTTAGGAATTTAGCTAGTGGCTCCAATCCGGTGCCTAACGATTCTCCATTACCTTCTTCATTATTTATCTTTGCTCTTTACTATATATTATTATAGACTGAGTAGATCTAGTTGCTACATCTATCAAGTGCAAGATGAAACTGATTGTTTTAGCTTATTTCATGGCCTTACGGACTATTGCTGCAATTTCATTTAAAGTTCCCAGCTAATGCAATACACACTTTGGGATATTACAGTGTCCTTTCTTTAAAAAAAACTATATCAAGCTTACCCTTCTGTAAGTTTAATGTACTCATCGTCCTTTAATGTACTATCCTCCATCCTTTGGTAGGGTCTCTGACATGTGAGATGATGGATCAGCAAACTTCTGATGTAGTATTAAGATAATTAGTCACATTTCCTTTAAATTCCTTTCTCCTGATGCTAATAACACCTACTTTATATTTTGATTAGAAACGTTAGGCATTGTTGAAGTAATACAATAATGTTTGGAATGAGTAAACTGTAAATCCAATGATTTCCTAAGAAAAATTGCCTATGCCCAGTCATAGATAGCCTGTACAACATAAATATATTTCATTTGGCACAAAGATTATTCAGATAAAGTGGCTTACTTCGGTTGTTTTACAGGGAATCACCAAACATTTTAGTGATTTTAGCACAATGACATTCCCAAATTTGAAGCAGGTAGAGTTCCCAAATTCAATACCCTCATTTATCTTGGAAATCTAGATATTATTTTAAGCAACCCACTCCATGCAATGTAGATGCACATTCCCTGTCCAAAAAAGCACACTTGAATGCGTATGGGACTAAAACCTTCATCGCCAGGATGAAATCTCTTGTAGTTAGTGCCATTCCCTTCGTCCAATCAGTGTCTCAGTATCATTATCTTCTTCTTCTGAGCCTTCCATGTTATATGTAATTTCAAACATGTTGTTATTTCATCTAGGTCAATTCATTGCATAATGGTGTTTTAAGCAGAATTTGAAACCATTATTGGAATTATCCCAGACATTCAGGGGCTCACTCCTTTGTTTTAGTTCCCCAGTTCCTGTTGTTTGTTGTAACTGCCAGAGACCTTAATACTCTCACTCCTTTTAGTTATAATTCTCCTTTTGTTTTGACGCTTTCAAATTGTGTCTGGGTGGTATCATACTGCACTGTTAATGAATCTTCTATTGTTTGCATTAAGCTGAATGTCCCATTTCAGTCATGAAGACCACTGGGAATGAATATTATCCCAGGACTTTTTTTTAGGACTCCTGAAATCTGTTCCAAAAAGCATTTATTTTTTCTGAAAGTCTAACTACACTTTAACACATACAACAATTTAAATTTCAAGCTCTGAGGTGGGAATATCCAAATAGATATTTAAATTTCATTATATATTATTTTATGGAATAACTGCCTGGCTTTCTAAATTTATCAATGTCTGGCCAAACATCATATGAATTTAAGAGATCATATTTCTCAGATATTTTGCCATAAATTGTCCAAACCTTCCTCAGTGTCCAACTTTTGAGCCTCTAGCTCTGAAAATATTTTACATTTAACCCTGCTTCTAGGAGGAACAGAAAGTGACAAGGCTATATCTCCATTTAATTTTGATTTGGTAAGGACATAACCTGTGTCCATATATTAATTAATTTTTCCAATGATCCTAAGATTCAGCTTCAAACATCATCAATGTGAAATCATATTTTGACACTTCACACCTATTTTCAATGATTCTTCTCAAAAGCAGCAAAATTAGATCTTTCCGAAAGAAAAAAAACTTAATTTAAATCTTCAATGTTAGGAATCATCCTCTGTTATCGGGATCAACTCATTTCCAAGCTAGTAGTCCAGGTAGGATACTAAACATCTTCCATTATGGTTAGAGTTTATGAACTGATCAGTCTAGCAGCTCTTTCCACACACTAGTCGCTACTTTTCTCCCTTTATATCTAGCCAAACAATTAATCAATTAACCCTAACTACCTGTTTAACTATTTGCTACATTAACAATAGAGCAGCTATCATAATTATTTGCCAGTCAGACTAAATGAATAGCGACAGCATACCTGCAAAATTTGCACAGACAGCAGTAAATTGTTTCACAGCGGTGAATAACAGAATCATTGTTCTTTATATATCAATGGACCAGACTTGGGTCTATAGAGCATAGTTTAATGTTTGCAGCTGATACACAACTCAAATGAAATTATCAATACAGAGAGTCATAAAATTCAGAACAAAACTGACAGACTGCTGAAATGGGAAAACACATTGCTGATGAAATTTAAGTGAACTGTGGAGCAGTGCATTTGGTAGGCAACATGAGAAGCTGTGATTTTAAAATAAATGGCACCATCTTAAAAGTTGGGGCTGGGATTACATGTACACAAATTCAGGAGAGTACTCCGATTTATTCTGCAACATAAATTTTGCATTTTCAACTCTGGCTTGGGATCTTTAGACATTACTGTGTTTTATTTATGGCCCCTCCTAAATAAGTGATGGAATGTAAGCTGACCTTTTAGTTTAAATTACAATACCCCTTAATCCACTGCACATTTGGCACAATTACTTTTTGTTCACATGACAAAGATTTATATTCAGGGCTGTTTGACTTGTTAGTTTGTCTAAAGCTACTAGTTATCTTTTACTAATTATATACTTTGATTCTATAATTCTGAATATGTCACAGAAATTTGTAGCAAAACGGCCATTCACTTCATTGTTTTTAGCTGGAGCAATTCAAAATTAATCAGATCTCTAACCTCGCCTTTCTGTATATTCCTCTGCTTAATTTATTTACTGAATTTCATTCTTAAAAGCTTCAATTGCCTATACCTCAAATACCCATTGTGGAAAAACATTTCATACTCCAAAAAGCTTCTCTTAGAAGGAAGTTTCACCTAACCTTTTTCTTCGGTCTCAGGTAACTGCAGAGCGACCAATGATCCAATGAGTCAACAACGATTCACAAAACCTGCAGATGAGGGTCTGGTGAAGGATCAAAGACCTGACAAGTTAATGAGTAACTGTTTCACTCTCCATGAGTGTGGCTTTTCTACTAAGTAATTCCAAAATTTTCTGTTTGATTTCAAATTTCCAACACTCAGCTGTAGGTGTTGATTATTTTTGCTCTTTTCACTTTCACTGTCTTTCACTTGACTATCAAAACCGCTCAGATTAAAAGAAAGACTTATTAGTTTCCCTATTAACTTTATTTGCTGCAATGAAAATAGTCTAGAGTGCCTTGTATCACACCTTATCACCATGGATTTGCTACTCCTTTAAAAACTATTCAGGCTGTTATTTGTGCTGTCTTACAAACAGAAATATAGAAGGTCTGCTGGTTTAGAGATCTTGGTCACTCACCTCCTGCATGGAGTGGGGAACTGCTGGAATTTCTTGCCTGTGATGAAGGGCTTGGAAGGGAAGACTTGTTCTTGAATGACAGGAACAGATGCTGACAGAAATCATCAGGCAACTCAGCCTCCAGGAATGTTTTCATAAACAGTTTGAAGCCATCAAAGTCTATTGGCTATAGACAAAACAAAGAGCATTTACTTTTTTTGGAAAATAACAAAACCCGAGAAAAGGCTTTGCATTTGACAAAAGATGTCACCCATAATCTTAGCCAGAACTATTAGACATTTTTAGAATGAAACTATTAGTAATCTTTTTAACAATGCAGTTACATAGATCATTTACAAACAAAATTAAGACAAACTAAAAATAAATTTTACACCAGAAAACAAAGCTTTGTTTCTCTTTACATTTAATCTGATGTCCCTCAACGATTGATCCTTAACCTCGTCCTAGTTCTCATCTACATGTTGTCCCTTGGAACATCCAAATGAAATTAGGAAACATTCATTCATATAAAAGGTGGTAGTAATTTGAAACTCCCTTCTATAAACACAATTGTGCTGGATCAATTGTTAAGTTTAAAACTGGTACTGATAATTCTTTTTCTCTGAACAAAGATATAAAGGGAGAGGAGGCAAAGGCAGGCATATGAAGTTTGGGTGCAGACCAACCATGGTTTCAATGAATGACATAACAAGTTCAAGGTGTAAAATGGTCTCTTCCTGTCCTTCATTGCGACATCCAATTAGGAGCTATTAACAAGCCTAAACCCATTGGGCATTAACACACTTCTCCAAGTCAGGATGTGTTTGTATTTAGCTTTGATGGTGCTCAGGTCACTGAGTTTGCGGATCAGCTGCATAAGATCATACGTCCTTTAGGGAAGGAAACTGCCATCCTTACCTGGTCTGGCCTACATCTGACTCCAGACCCACAGCAATATGGTTGACTCATAACTGCCCTCTGGGTAATTAAGGATGGACAATAAATGCTGGCCTAGCCGGCGATGTCCTCATTCCATGAATAAATGAAGAAAAAAAAACATCTTAACTAGTTGAGAGAAGCCCCTAGTAGTGGGAACTGCTTGTGTTTATGAGTTTTTTTTAAGTTTCAGATGAAGTATTTTTCTCAGACTCAGAGAACTGTGATTGCAACAGAATCTTCAATCCCTATGAGACCAAGCATACCCATATCTGCCAATACCAAAGGAATTATAGCAAGGACTTGGATCTGATAGAGATCTTTGATCCTTACATGCATTTTAATTTGTTTATTCACAGAATTTCCTTTATTCAACAAAGTGGCACAAATAAACATCAGACAATGCCTAGGTTAAAAATTACAAAATGGACATGATAAATATGAATAAATAATTGTGAAGACAATCAGTAGCTTTGCAGTGATCTTTAACATTCCTCTATCGAATGCAGAGCAAAGTCAAACAAGGTCATGATCACACCAGGGAATGGTGGAACATTTCTAATGTCAGTGTCCTATGGGGACTCTGTCCCATTTTCCTGGTTTCTCCATCTCCGTCGTCACACTGTGAGGATTCGGAGTAGACCATTTAGGACAGAGATGAGGAGACATTTCTTTACCCAAAGAGTGGTGAGCCTGTGGATTTCATTACCACAGGAAGTAGTTGATGCCAAAACACTGAATGTATTCAAGAGGTAACCAGATATAACACTTGGGGCGAATGGGATCAAAGGTTATGGGGAGAAAACAGGATCAGGCTACTGAGTTGGATGATCAGCCATGATCGTGAAGAATGGCGGAGTAGGTTTGAAGGGCCGAATGGCCTCCTCCTGTTCCTATCTTCTATGTTTCTATGTTTGATTTCTCTCATCCTCACGAATTGCTTCTTAAGGCTTGCCGACTTGGAGAAGGTCAGCCTGAGATTTAAGACAAGACTCAATTGAGGGAACAGGAAAAGCCAGCAAGAGTCCTGCATTGCTCTGTTATTTGATTTGATTTATTATCATCACATATACCCAAGCACAGTGGAAAGTTTTGTTTTAAATGCAGTATGGACAGATCATAACATACAAAGACGCAAAGATCATAGAGCGATTGAACAGAGCGAGGAATACAACTTTACAGACGCAAAGGGGCACAAAATGCAAGATCAACATTAGATTTGAAATTTGAGAGGTCCATTCAGAAGGCTCATAGCTGCAGGGAAGAAACTGTTCTTGAAACTGTTGGTACTTGTGTTTAAGCTTTTGCATCTTCTGCCTGATGGAAGAGGTTGGAAGAGATTATAACTGGAGTGGAAGGATCCTTTGATGATGTTATATTCCACAGAACACAGAACATAGAACAATACAGCACAGTACAGGCCCTTTGGCCCACAATGTTATGCCAACCTATTATCCTACTCTAAGATCAAACTACCCTGCATACCCTACATTTTAGTATCTTCCACGTGCCTATCCAAGAGTCACTTAAAAGTCTCTAAAGTATCTGACTCCACTACCACTGTCGGCAGCGCATTCCACGCACCCACCACTGTCTGTGTAAAGAACCTACAGCTGACATCTCCCTTATACCTTCCTCCAATCACCTTAAAATTACGCCCCCTCGTAATAATCACTTCTGCCCTGGGAAAAAATCTCTGGCTATCCACTCTATCTTTGGCTGTCTTTCCACGGCAATGAGAAGTGCAAATGGAGTCCATGGATGGAAGGTTGGCTTTTGTGATGGTCTGAGCTGTGCATACAACTTTCTGTAGTTTCTTATGGTCCTGGGCAGAGCAGTTGCTGTACCAAGCCATAATGCATTGAGATAGGATGCTTTTTGCGGTGCATCTGTAAAAGTTGGTGAGGGTCCTTACGGACATGCCGAATTTCTGTAGCCTCCCGAAGAAGAGGTGTTGTTGTGCCTTCTTGACTCTCGCATCATCTGGTGGTCCAGGACAGATTATTGGTGATCGTTACTACTGGGAATTTGATGCCATTGATGCAGATAGTAGGCATGCCCTCCTCCTTGCTAGGAAACACCTGCAGAATTAACTGCCAATTCAGGCACCATGGAACAGTGGACCTTCCTCAGGAATCAAGGGCCTGGAGTTTAGAAGTCGTACATGCCGAGGCTTAATTGCTTGGTAGCGCTACCAAACAGGCAGTGACTGCTGCTGGTGCACCAAGCCAACACCTAGGATTGCTAACGGAATCACTGACTGGGGGCATGGTAAGGAGTCACAAGACTGGAGATGCACGAGGGTAGTCAATAGGAATTCAGAAGGGTGTCAGCAGAAATGGAAGAGGGTCACTCTCAATAGAACCCCTCTTCCCAATGTCAGGTCCCTGGGGAGTGAAGCACCTTTGAGAAAGGAAACCCCAAGAACCTGTAAGCAATCCCAATATGTCAAATACAAGTGGCAGGGTTTGAGAGATTGAAGCTGACATTAAGAGTCTCCACCCGCAGTTGTCTAACCTGATTAAATTCTCCAACAGCTTTAACATTGGGCAAGCCATTAAATTCCATCTGAAACTTTGATGATAAACTGAAACAAAATAAATTAAAAATTCTTCTTATAAACGTGAGTAGAACTGCCAGTCAGAACTGTATTTTGAGACAGCCCATAGAAAATCTGTAATCAAATTAATGGCTGGACTCCTGCCACATAATGAATCAAAAACACGAACAAAATCAAAAATTACTGTAGAACCTCAGCAGGTCTGGCAGCACCTGTGGAGAGGAAGCAGAGTCAACATTTCAGGTCCAGTGACTCTTCCTCGGAACTTGTTCTGAAGAGGGGTCACTGGATCCGAAATGTTGACTCTATTTAAAGTGTACTATTAAACTATAAAATTGACTCTACCTTCTCTCCATAGATGCTGCCAGACCTGCTGAGCTTCTCCAGTAATTTCCAATTTTGTTTCAGAATTTTTTTGCACATTTAATCGGTGACAACAATGTTGCATAGTCTATGAAATAGTTATTCCAGAAATTAATTTTAACAATTCTGGAACAATCTCATTATGATATATCTCATTAAGCAAAGAACATCTTCGTGATGTCTACAGTCAATGCAGGGTTCAAAAAAGAGACTGAGCCATGTGAATTAATTTTACTTGTACATCATATTCACTGACACCAGACATGATAGCATTTCATGATCTGATGACAGGATTGGGTTCAGGTTTGATATCACTCCAGTATATTAGTTTGTTGACACTTACGAAAGTTTTCACAAGAACACTGACAAATTGAGAAATATCATAAGGCGACAGCTGGCTATCAAACTACCTTAGTCACCTTCACAGAAACATTGCCTAAAGATGGAAAGATGGGGGGCAGCAAATGAGCACAGAAGGATTTGTTTAGATTTCTTCTGCAAGGGGACATCACAAAATGTGCCTTATGTATCCTTCTGCACAATAAATTTCAGAGACTCTTGTGTTCTGTTTCCACAATTAAAACTGCCAAAATACACAGCACTGTAAAATATTAGGCACATAGGAAGTAGAAATAAGTAGGCTATGTAGCCTGCCAAGCTTGTCCTATGATTCAACCTTAATTTAGTTGATCTACGACCTAACACAATGTGTTCAACTTTACCCACATCCTTTAATACCCATGGATAAAAAAATCTATCAATCTATCTCAATTTTAATGTTTATTGGCACCAATTACTGTTTGCAGAAAAGATTCCAAAAACTTATACCACTCATTATATGGAGAAATGCTTCCCAATTTTATTCCGAAGAAGTCTGGTTCTAATTTTTAATCATATGCCTCGTAATCCTAGTCTCACCAATTGGCAAGAATAGTTTCTCTCTATCTACCCTACCTCTTCCCTTTAATGTTTTGAAAACTTGCATGAATTCAGTCCTTCACTTTGTCAATTCCAGAAAATACAACCCTAAAGTCCATGCTCTCTCCTCATAATTTAACCCTAACCCGATACCGTTCAAAGAATCAAACAGCACTGAGGCATGTACTATTAAAACTATGCTAAATCTATACTGATCCCACTTTCCAGGAATTGGCCCATAGTCTTGCATGTTATTACATGTTCATCCACTTTTTTTAAAGTGTTGTGAGGTTTGTCACCTTTACTACCCTCCCAGGTGATGCATTCTAGGCCCCCATCATTTGCTGTGTGAAAAAATATTCAATGCCCCTCTAAACTTTCTGCCTTTCTCTTTCAAAATGTCTCTGGGTCTTCTGTTTGTTATTGATCCTTCAACTAAGGGGAACTGCTGCTTTTTATTCACCCTCTCCATGCCCATCATAATCCTATACACCCCTATCAGGTTCCTCTTCAAGCTTCTCCGCTCCAAAGAAAACACCCCAAGCTTATCCAGACTCTCTTCATCATTGGCACGATGAATCTCCTCTGTATCCCTTTCAGTACAGTTACATCCTTCCTGTAATGTGGTGACCAGAACTGCACATAGTACTCCCGCTGTGGCTCCAACAAAGTTCTGTACTACTCCGACATAATCTCTCGACTCTTATAATCCATGCCTTGGTTGATAAAGGCAAGTGTCCCATAAGCCTTCAGAATTATTTTATTAAGCTACCTTGCCATCTTCAGGTATCTGTTGTCAAGCATTCCACCACCTCCGTTCCTCTGAGCTTCCTAGCGTCCTGCCATTCGAGTACTTCCTTGTCTTCTTATTTTTTCCAAAGTATATTACCTCTCACATATCAGCATTAAAATCCACCTGCCACTCATTCACTCATCTGACCAATCTATTTCTATCCTCCTGTAACCTAACACCTTTTTCCTCACCATCTCAACCACCCAACTGATCATTGTGTCATCCACAAACTGATCATCCCTCACTCCATACTCTCATCTGCATTGTTTATACATGTATCATGAACAGTAAGGGACCCCCAACTGATCCCTATGGCAGTCCATTGGGCACAGACCGCCAGTCACACAAACAGTCTCCTATCACCACCCTCTGTCTCCTGCTACGAAGCCAATTTTGATCTAACTTACCAACCTACCCTGAATCCCATGTACCTAATGAATCAGTCTCCCATATAGGACCTACTTTGCTGGAATCCATACATCTGGTCAACCTATGCTGCAGTTTCTAAATACAAGATGTGTTCCTTAAGGTGTGGTGACCAGAACATGATCACACTACTCTAACTTGGTTTAACCAGAGCTTTGAACAGCTTAAACACAACATTGTATTCTAGTCTTCAAGATAAGATCATCATGTCATTAGCCTTTTTGATTATTTTCTGTATTCAAAACATTTTAATAATCTATGTACCGGAAACACTCTCCCAACCCCCAAGGCTCTTTCAGCCTCCACTGTTTCTCATTTCTCTTTACAAAAATGCTCCATCCATTTTAAATTCAAAACGTCAGGTCTTATATTTGCTTATATTAAAATCCATTTCTCGCAGTTTTGCTATTCGCTTAGTCTGCCAATATCTCTGAAATTTCACACTTTTATCCACACAGCTTGCATTCACAATGCTGCCTAACTCTGTGTCATATGCAAATTGGGAACAGTGGTTTTCAATGCTATGCTGTAAGTCACAAGTAAACATGGGAGAGGTTGAGTTTCCAAAACAGAGCCATGCAGAATGCCATGAGTTACAATCTGATAATTACAGCACCAGCCCATTGTCACCCATTTTCCTAACTTGGCAAAAAAAGACGAACTTAAGTTTCATGGACTTCAACTATAATTTCTTCATCTCTTCTGAAGATCTTTCGCAAATCTCTTTCGCAAATCTCTTTCAAAGTTCCTGTACATTTGTTCTTCTGGATGAGTGATTGAAGGAACTTCTTAAGACAGTATTTCCTCACCAAGCTTTTCTGCTTGCCAAGACTTCAGAAACAACTGTCCACATTTGATAACATATGACTAACAGATTGCTGGACCAAAGGACGTTGTGAACATTCCATACCTCGTCTTTTTCCTTTTTAAGTTGTAAAAGGCATTGGGGAAAGTATTTATTTTCTGAGCTTCATTTTCCACTTGGGTGTTTCGCTCTCCTGCTCAACTCCATGAGGCCTCAAGAAATAGGAACCAGAGTAGGCCATTCAACCCTTCGAGCCTGCTCCACCATTCAATAGCTTCCGACATTCCTTATGTCCACTTTCCTGCCCTTTCCACGGAAGCCTTGATTGCAAAACTGATCAAGAATCTGTCTCAGTCTTACGTATACATCAAGGACTCTGCCCTCAACAACCCTCTGTGGTAAAGAGTTCCAAAAATATTCAACCCTCCAGGAGAAAAAATTCCTCCTCATCTCCATCTTAAATTGGTGCCCTTTAATCTGAGACAACGCTCTCTGATCTTAGACTCTCCCATGAGGGGAAACATCCTCTCAACATTTACCCTGTCGAGACCCTTAAGAATACTTTATGTTTCAATTAGATCACATCTCATGAGTAGAGTCCCAGCCTATTTAACCTTTGTTCACAAGGCAATCTCTCCATATTCTATCCCTTGAATTGATGCTTTTTATTAAATTCAGTCATGGGATGTGGGCATCTCTGGCTGGCCAACATTTATTGAGCTTCCCTAGTTGCCCAGAGGGCAGTTAACAGCAAGCCACATTGGTGCAGGGGCTGGAGTCACATGTAGGCCAGGCCAGGTAAGGATGGCAGTTTCCTTCCCTAAAGGACGTTAGTAAACCAGATGAATTTTTCTAACAAGCGACAATGAATTTATGGTCATCATTAGACTCTTAATTCCAGATTCTTTACTGAACACAAATTCCACCATCTGCCATGGTGGGATTTGAACCCAGGTTCCCAGAACATTAGCTGAGTTTCTGTATTAATAGTATTATCGCTAAACCACTAGGCCATTGCCTCCCCTTTAACCAAGCTTGATTCCTCACCCTCCCTTCTTTAGTTTAAAACTCCTCTCTACTTCCCTAGTTATATGGTTTGTGGGAATAATAGTCCTAGCACAGTGCAGGTCTAGACTGTTTCAATGCCAGAGATCCTAGTTCCCTAGTATTTGTACCCATGCCCCACAAACCAAAACCCACTTCATTTATCCCCATCTCTGAATCAGACATTCACCTTCCTAACCTTATTCATCCTCTGCCAATTAGGATGTGGCTCAAGTAGTAATCCAAAGATTATTAACTTTATGGCTCTGCTTTCTAATTTAGCACTAACTTCTCATCAACAGAACCTCTGACCACTCAAACTTGCCAATCACACTGCAAGTCCTTCTACAGCCTAGATAAGCTGAACCCTGGCACCAGACAGGCAACACAGCTGTCTGGACTCACTCTCTGTCACTGAGAACAGTGTGAATCTCTCTTTATTTTGTCCCCTACTACCACTCCATTCCTTCTTTCTGCACCCTCTTGAGTGGCAGCCGTTACCACTGTGCCATGGCCAGTTAGCTCGTCCTCGCTGCATCCCTCACTCTCATCCACACAAAGTGAGAACAGGCAAAGGCCCTGTCCTTTGGATCCACTTATCCACCTCACTTGCGGATTTTTTTTTGTCCCAGACTACTTAATGTACTAGAAAATAGTCACCTCAGAGGTTTGAATTACTCTTAAAATACCAAGCAACTTTCCCCCTTCCTTGATGTGCCACAGCGTGATGGTTAATTGCTTGTTAATTAATTTATAATTAATGCAACCTACACCTCCTAAAAAGTTTTAGGGCCGCGTGAATATCAGCAGCATCAGTTGGATAGATTGGCCAAATGTTAAAATGTTTAGAGACATGAAATGAAGCTTCTGGAAAGCCATAAATGGAAGCAAGTTATTTTCTTTTTAAAATGGGGTCGAATAGTAAAATCGTCATAGCCCTAACAGACCTTAGGGCTGCACTGTCATTATAGAGAGATGACTGGTGATGGCTTAACCTGAGGGTCATAGCACCTCAAAAAAGGGGGAGAGGTTGAGAAGGACAGTCCTTCATGGTAACCTCAGCTGGCTCAGGAATTGAAGCCATGATGTTGGAATCACTCTACATTGCAAACCAACCATCCAGCCAACTGAGCTAACCAACCCTCACTGGGGTCTAACAGGCCTTTACAAATCTACAGGTAAAACATGCAAATCTGGTGGCTTGAAGGCAGACAAATAGCATGTTACAGTTGATTTGTGATTTATGTCTACCTTGCTTATCTGATTTATCTCTGAGCAATGCAGAGGTGAACAGTTCTACATCCAAACAGTTTTATTTGCAAAGCTTTATTTATTTTAGAACGTGTAGCCATTTCACATACACATCTCTTTCCAGGATCCTCATATCTCCCATACTATTCTCTTTGGAATAAGCCGCTGACTCATTAGATACACCCACAGACTCAAGCAATCCAACAACGATCAAATATCAGGCCAGCATAAACATAAAAAAAACACTAAAAAGTGAGTCAAAGCAACAAGCAAAACCTCTTCCCCCTTCTCTCTTAAGCAAAACATTCTATTCTTTTCCAGTAGGTATTGGACACTGAGCTTTTCTTCCAATCATGGGTTCAAATTTTCCTCTGTCATCTCAAATAGTATCTATTATTCATGTATTCATGTGTGAGGGTCAACAATGGGTAAAAGCAGGCCATTTTACAGCCAAGTTTAATCCCACTCATGCCCTATGTTCACACACATGCACATCTGCTCAAGATCCCGGGATAATTAACAGAACAGAAAACCCTGCCAATTCTCCCTTCATGAATCTAAGACCACTAAAAGCAATGAAAATACTCTTAAGCGCTGTCACTGTTAGGATCAATTAACTCAACATAAGATGGAGATTTTATCTGGTGTTCACGATGGAGGAGCTCACTAGTAGATTCAATAAACCATCAGCATCTAAGATGATATTATTTCTCAACTTTGTTCTGTGTAAAAATAGATGAAAGGCTCCTCATGCCTAAGTTAAACAGCCACTCATCCACTATTGTCTCATCAACAAATCCTATGCATTTTGAAAAAAATGACACTTACCTGACTGAGAACATCCTGCTTCTGTGGAGATGGTCAAGCAAAAAAGAGAGAGTAATAACTAGGTTAGCACAAAACATGGCATTTAAGATAGTTAAACTGTCAGAAAATCAGAGAACATAATACATAGTGACAGCAAGTTAATTTCCAGTGAAGAATGTGAGGTTTTGTTAGATGAAAAATATAATAAAAACAGTGACACAAACATTACAGATGTCTATTCAACAAATAGATCTGTTACTGCCCAAGAAGAATGGCTCAAGTACAGCTTTATACGAGGCTGCGCTACTCTGATTATAAGTGGTAAAGTGAATTCCCTTGCAACTTATTTAAGACCTTCAGAGCTGGGTTGTTGTTTACTCTGGTTGGTAAGGGGCAAACTGATTCAGGAAAGAGATTACTTTATAACATAATATCCAAGGTATTTTCATAATTGACCCAAAAACTTTGCCTCCAGTTTTCACGTTATGTAGACGTAAAGCATTTGAATGGCACTTAAAATGCACTTCCACTAGGCCCTATTCTAATCCCTCACCAAAAGTATTAAAGCTATATAGATACAAAGAATAACTATGATATAGTTCGTAGAATTCAGTCCATGAAAAATTAATGGTCTTGTTCAGCCAACTCTCTTTAGACTTTTGTTTTAAATGATATCCTGAGGGATCTGGGCTATTGGGGTAGGAACTCCAGTCTTCAAAAATTCCCCCATGAGTGAATAGAGTTGTGAAGGGGAAATATTTAAAATTTTCAAGGCACTTCTGCAGAACATCACAGAATTAGAATCACAGAATTGTTACAATATCAATAGAGTCCATTTGGACAATGACATCTGCATGGTCTCTCCAAATGAACATGTCACTGCATGCCTTTTACCTGCCTTTGACCCTAAACCCTACACATTAGTGTTTAATTCTCTTTTAAATGTGTTGAATGAACCTGCTCCACAATGTTCTCAGGCAGTACATTCCAGATCCTAAATAGCAGTGTCAAGAACTATACGAAATACTCCAGCTGAGATATAACTAGTATCTATCCAAGCACAACATAACCTCTTTGGTCTAATATTTTAGGACCCTATTAATAGAATACTGCAATTCTTTTTTTACTGCTCTCTCAACCTGTCCTGCCACCTTCAATGACTTGTGCATATATACTCTAAAGTCTCTCATTTCCAATGCATCACTGCTTGAAGTACTGAAAAGAAAGCCCAGAAATATACAATTAATTTCATTTTCACCTGGCATTGCTCTGTTGCCATTGGCCACTGACACTACAGTGTTTTCATCTGAGGCAAACCAAAGAAGGACTTGCATTTACATAACCCTCAGTATCTCAAATCACTTCAAAGTAAATTAAGTATTCTTGCAGTATAGTCACTGATGTAATGTCAGAAAACATGGCAGCCAATTTGTGTACAGCAATGTTCACAAGACAGCAAGGTAGTAACAATCAGAAATTGTTTTGGTGTTATTGTTTATGGAGTAAACGTTCTCCAGTTTAACAGAGAGAATGCCCCTACTCCTTTTCTTCAAAAAAAACCAACAGTATAGGACTTGAATATCTCTACAGTGGGCAGGGAGATGTCTCCATTAAAAAAAAAGCTCACCTCAGACAATGCTATACTCTTTCTGAGCTGAGAACCTGGATCTGGTATCCTCTCTAGTCAAAAAGGTATAGCCCCTTCAGGAACGAGATGGCAGGCCAGAAGAGGCCATTAAATTGGATACCATGGCAGAGGCACATGCTCACTACTTATTAACCCCACTCCAATTTTACCAGTGGCCCTCCCAGGATCGAACGTCCCATCCCATTCTGAAAACCACTCTCAATCCTGTATCCCTTTTGCCAGAATCCGCCAGGGTCTAGTGCCAAACACTTAAATGTGATTTTTGAGGCTTTTTTGCCTCCAACAGGTTGCTCTACTTCATGCAATACACAGGTCATCTCCTGTAACATACGAAACTGAGCACAGGTGTTGTGGTATTGAAAATCCAACAGACATCTGTTAATAATTAAAGCAATGTAGGACAGATGCTAGAGATCTAAAGTAAAAACAAAACGTGCAAGAGAAACTCAAGTTTGATGGAGACAGAAGTAAAGGTAACATTTTGAGCTCAATGTGATACTTCTTCAAAACAACACACATAGTGACAGCTGCCAATTATAGACTAATACGTCATTCATGGCCCGACATTCAGCTTTTAGTCACAATGAAGGGCATGCTTCTGGTGCTTCAAGTGATCCCAAGGTAAGTTGAAGTATGAGAACTTTACGCCCTCAGGTCGCAAGTGATGATATTATGAGCTCATCTCTTAAAGGTACATTGACTTATTGACTGCGAGGTACAACACAACATTACTGAGCACCTTCCTCGGGGATTTCTTTAGTCCCTGCAGAAGCCATAGCTCATAGAGGCATTGCTGGGACAAGAAAGCTGCCAGCCCTCGAGGTTGTGCTTCCTCTGAGAAGGGAATAGAAGGTCCATCTTTTGACGTTGAAAGTCCAAAGGTGGCGAACAGGTCAGGTCAGAGCAGGATCTCCTCTGACTTTTACGGCAAAGGTTGGAGGGAGGTTTAGGAGGGTGGTGGGGGGGTAATCATTATCCTGGAACCTCCACTACCATCTCGCTCACAATGTAAAATTCTGCCCCTCTGACCCAAAAGCAGGACTGCCTCCACTACACTGCAACTGATAATCAATGAAGTGCAGACATTCCAACCACCAAAACATATGAATGCCCAGAGACCAGGATATTGTCCCAGATGTGCACTAAAATATATCTTTTAAAAACACTGGATTCTTGTTTCAAGTATTGGCTGTAATAGCAGAACAGTCTTCTTCAAAATTTATCAACTTGCACAGTCAGTTAAATGAGAAATGTAAAAGTTGAGAAATATTTCAGCTAACAAAAAACTCCTACACAGTATGAAAACAAAAATAGCATCAAATTGTTTCACATTAATCACACTCAATAATTCCTATCTGTTGTATGATTGTATGCATAATTTTCCCTTATACTGAATTTTGTTTTCCTTTTTTGAGTGTTATGAATAATTATTTCGGATCAAATTCGAAATGTTCTGGGCAGCAACGTTTAGGTTAGCAACCCTGAGGAAGACTGCAATTAGGAAGGCTTAGTTTTACACATAGAATCATGGACACACTCATCAGGATTAAGTGTAAATGGCTAAAGCCACATTAAAAGTAAAGCTAAAAGAATAATAGAAACTCAGGTGATTGGATGTTTCAGAAAAAGATAATTCATCTGGCGCCAGGATGGAAACTTCCAAGCTTTAGTGTGTAATTGAACCTCCAGCAGCAGGTGGCGATGGTGAGGGAGGGCAACTCAAACGGCATCACCAGGACCTCCAGAATCGGGGTGGCACTGGGCATAGCAGCTGGTGCAGTTGAATGGACCGTCTCTGCAGAAAAGGGTATTTCCTTTGCTGATAACACAGGTTGGAAAATGAGTCATGAAGAGGCAAAAAGGAGCCTATAAAGGGTTACAGTTGGGTTAAGTGAGTGGACAAAGCTCCAGTGAATACAGTATAATGTGGGAAAATGTCAACGCATCCATTTTGGAAGAATTTTTTAAAAATCTAAATAGTGAGAGGTTGCAGAGCTCTGAGATGACAGAGAGATATTGGGTGCTTTTGTGCATGAATCACGGAAGGTTAGTCTGGAGGTACAGCAAATAATCAGGAAAGTTAACAGAATGTTATGTTTTATTGCAAAGGGAATTGAAGAGTAGGCATATTATACAGAGCGTCAGTGAGACCATATCTGGAGTACTGTTTATAGTACTTGTCACCGTATTAAGGGAAGGATGTTAATGCATTGAAAACAGTTCAGAGACTAATATCTGAAATGAGTGGATTGCCTTATGAGGAAAGAGTGGACACGCCAGGCCTGAATCCTGTGGAGTTTAGAAGAATCAGAGGTGACTTAATTGAAACAAATAAGATCCTGAACAAAAACTGAAATTTCTGAAAAAGCTCAGCAGGTCTGGCAGCATCTGTGTGGAGAAATCAGAGTTAATGTTTTGGGGCCAGTGACCCTTCCTCAGAAACGGACCTGAAATGTTAACTCCGATTTCTCTCACGGATGCTGCCAGAACTGCTGAGCTTTCCCAGCAATTTCTGTTTTTTTTTGGATTTGCAGCATCCACAGTTCTTTCATTTTTATATAGGATCTGAGGTGATTTCACTGGGTGGTTGTCAATAGGATGTTTCCTCTTATAGTAGAATCTAGAACTCAGATCACAGTTTAAAATAAGGGGGTGTCCATTTAAGACTGAGATGAGGGGTGGACAAATTCTCTCAAAGGGTTAAGTGCCTTTGGAATTCTCTTCCACAATAGGCAGTGAATGCAGCATCATTAAACACTTTTAGGCCAGATGTAGATGGATTCTTGATTATCAACAGGACGAAAAATTATCAGGGATATGCAAAGTTGAGGTTAAAATCAGATCAGCTATAATCTTATTGAATGTCAGAGAAGGACTGAAGAACCCAATGGTCAATTCTTGTTCCTTGGTCATATCAGTCTATGCAGAATGGAGGCCTCGTGGGAAGGAGGAAGCAAAGAAAGGTTTTCCTCAACTAGATGTAAACCACAATGTTGATTCCAAGTCCATACTGCGTGTCTCTTGTTTAATCTTCATTTCCCTTTATGTTTGCAATGTCCCAGGGATGCCAGTGGAATAAAGAACCCCTGCTTCATGATCATAAGGCTCTCTGTCTGTTCAAATCTAATGTCAAACAGCAGCTTAAAGAGAGGGCGGATTGTTCACTCATTAGCAAATTGACTGATTTGCCAAGACTTTTGAGACCTTTATCAGAGTTCACAATTTGTCTGCAAACTAACTTATTTGATTCAAACTCTTATGTTTGGGAGTACATTTAACCCGGATCAAAATTTAAGCAGATATGAAGAGGGCTGAATGTAAAATGCACTTGCTGGCAGAAATTTCAGGTCAGAATTTCACCCACATGCTGCCAGTCAGCTGGCAAGGAGTGGCA